GACATTTTGGATTCCTCTTTTTGCACCTTGTCAAAGATTAGACTGAAAAAAAAAATCCAAAAACCTTCTGTGTTATGATTAAGCAACTTAAGCAGTCTACACCAGAATTTAATTGAAACTCTTATTTTTAACAAAATACACTTTCTGCTTTGTATTAATACACAAGTGGTTTAAATAGCATCATCAACAATAGAATAGAATTTGCTATCAACATATGATGGTCATAACTTGTCATAAAGCTTACCATTAGAGTCCTTTGTAGCAATTATTTGCAGTTTACCGGCACGAACCAGGATTGAATAGTGTTATGATTAATTGTTCTTCCATCATGCCATTCCTTGAAGAAATTCGGAAATGTTGGTTTCATAACAGTCTTTTTTGATAACTAGGCTGAAAGATAGTGACATCTACGGGCACCCACTGAAATTCTTCCTAGATTTTTTGCAGCCATCAGTTATAGTTTAGAAGTGCTGTAAACCTTTCATAAGTAACTGAGAGATTTTATGTGCAAGTATTTGCAACTCCTATTGTTTTTATGTTTTCCCTTTAAAATACATAAAAAAGGAAGGGAAGAAGATCATCCATGTATTTTAAATTTGAATAAATAACACATGCATCCTTTCTGCTTATGTTGTATCTGTGTAATTTGGACTGGAATAAGCTTCTGCTACTTCAAGAAATAATTTGAGAAAAGGCCCCCAGAACTGCTTTGTCATTTCCATTGTCCTCTTTGTCATCAAGAACATGCAAACTCTTATAAGTATGTAAATGTCTGTGGCATAAGTTCACTGTAAATTTGGACATGCAGGCAATCAACTTTAAACCAGCCTGAATACGTGCTGTATTAAAAATGTTAGCAAGGAAAGTATTGATATATATGTAATTCTTTTGTTCCAAGTGGTTCTTACAAACAATCTGTATATTTTGATATTGCCAAATCTTCCTTTCCATCCATTGCACTTCATTGCCATACTTGTAAAGAATGCTTGTGCATTCAGATCAAAGCAGAATGGGATTCTGACTTAATCTAAGGCTTACATTTCCTATCAAATGATACCCATAGAGCCCCCTTATTGGTAGCTGAAATCAGGTCATAGGAACTTACCAACATGGCTTTTAAAAAGCGAACCCGAAGGCTTCTCTTGAGCTTTAAGTGGCTTTCCAGGGATCATTGTCCAAAAAATAATGGATGGGACTACATCAAAAATTAAGTATGTTTTGAAATAATTTACATATAAATGTAATTAAAATTAATCAACTCTGATTTTTTAAAAAGGATTTCTAGTCATGCTTTCAATCATTTTCCCTTTTTATCATTTTAGAAGTCACAAATTAATATCAACTTTTGGATACCTCTAGGTATTGCACCCAAGGCTTTCAAGGGCTAACTATGGATCTTAGGTTTTAGACTGTGAACAATGAGATTATCTGACCTCTGATTGATCAAAGGAACCATAACTACACCAGCCTTTAGGTGTGGACTGCCTTCTTTTTGTTGGTTGCCATTATATCTGAGCTCAAGAATCTACATATTTTTCCCTCTCTCAAATTCCTCTTCCACTCTGCTCTCTAAGTATTAAAATATTTACTCAATTAAATATATTTCCTATGTATCCCAAATCTTTATCCCTTGTAAAGCAATAAATTAAGATCATCTTTGGCTCACTATAATGAGAATCTTTGGTTTCACTAGGCCTTTTTCTCTCTGAATTTCCCCTCCCCCCATGATTTAGGCCACCATTCTACCACTGCTTGTAGCATACTGGCTGGGAGCTCTCCAATCTGGAAGACCCCACCCCCACATGAGAAATTCCTTAACAGCTTTCATATGGAAGAAGGCCAAATGAAGGGATGCCCTCTTCCAGCTTTTCCTTCAGTGGGCTTCCAGGCTGAATGGGACAAGTAAGGAACCAAGGAAATTTTTAAAAAGCAAACAAACACAACTTGGCCCATCCTGGAATCCCCCTGGGGTGCGTGCCATGCCACCACACCAGAGATATAGCCTCTTCAACCATTGGTTTCTTTCATCTTATTGTCTCTTTCATTTCACCTTCGGCTTTCTGGGCTTTATCAGTAAGGGCCCTTTCTTCCTTCCTTCCTTCCTTCCTTCCTTCCTTCCTTCCTTCCTTCCTTCCTTCCTTCCTTCCTTCCTTCCTCCCTCCCTCCCTCCCTCCCTCCCTCCCTCTCTCTCTTCCCCCCCCATTCCTCTTCTCCCTTGCATTCAGAACAAGCCATAAGTAGGTTGTTTCTGCTTCTATAAATGGAGTGATCAACTAAAGCTAATGCCCAAGGAAGGAAAGTCACTTTAGGCAGTTGAACAAAGCAGGGCAGTAATTTATAAGATAAAAGTTTAGCAGCTTCTGGATTTGGATACACACTCCTTCGCCATCCTTAAGTTGCTCCCCGATGCACCAAAATCATCTATGGCTGTGTTAGCATCCCCTGTCAAACCTGATCTAGCAAAGTGGCTAACTTTTGATGATTATTCCTTTTCTTAAATGGCTTAATGTGTTCGGCAAATTGAGGCCAGGAGACTAACCACACCTTGTAAAGGCAAAAGAAGAAGCTACTTAGATGAGCTACCAAGTTCACCATCCCATGTGAACACAGCCTGGGTGTTTGCAGAAGGGCTGAGATTGATGGGGGCATTCAGATCAAGAAGCTATTAGGTGCTTTTACTTTCATTGCGCATTTCCCTGCCTCCCTCACCTGTCAGCCTCCTGCCTACCTATCATCCGCCACTCTTGGGCTGGCTTGAAGCTTCAGGAGGAACAACCTGCCATTCCATCCCAAAATCTGAGGACCTGCATACCTGCCCACTTCGGATCCCTGGAAGGCCAAAGCCCCGAATTCTTCCTGTGGTCTTTCCCCACCGCCAGAGGAGAGGCGGACGAGAAAGCCTTCCCCACCTGAACCTGAGGCCGGCGAAGCGAGCCACCCTCCCCGCCCAGAGAAAGAGAGGAGCGCGCTGCCCAGGCCTGCCGCGCGGTATTGGAGTTATTCGAGGCACGCGGAGGGCGCGCTACTTTGGCTAACAAAGGCTCCGGCCTGGAGCGAGGCCCTGCGATCCAATGTCACGGCCGAGCCCGGAGAGCCCGCTGGGCGAGTCAGGAAAGGCCCCTGCTCTCTTTTCCCAGGGGGATCAGCTAAATATAGGCCCTCGGCTTGGCTCTGGCCCCAACCCCCGGACCGTTGGCCGTGGGTTGTAAAAAACGATTAGCGAGACATAACTGCGAAGCGCCGCGGGACTTCAATGGCGGCGGAGGTGCAGTCCTTTTACCCCCACCCCCACCCCGCTCGGCCTCGCCTGCCTGCCTCGTATTAAGGAGATTCGGTAATTCGGGGGCGGAGCGGGGGGGGGGGCTATGTCCGCGTAGGGACCTGCTGGACCAGCGACTGACACCGAATCCCCCGCTCGGTCGGGAGGCCACCTGGCCTGCCTCGGAGTGTCAAATGATTAGCAGGTCCTTATTTATAAAGTTCAAGCTGTTTTCCTCCCGCCCCCCAAGTCAGCGGGCGGCTTACTTTATTTTCGTCCGCATATCCGCGGGTATAAATGTTTACTTAGGGTGGAATAATATTTATGGTTTCTCTAGAAAACAAATCGGGCCCGGGCAAGGCGCGCCCTCCGGCTCTTGTCCAGCAGGCTCCTCCGGCCCGCCGATTGCTTAACGGGAGAGGGCAGATTCTGCAGCCGAGCGGCGGAAAGGCGCCTTCCTCCCTTCCCTTCTTTCCTTAGGGCACATGCTTCATATTTTGGGGCGAATAAAGGGTTATTTTATTCCCGCGGCTTCCTCAAAAAAAAAAGGGGGGGAGGAAATGTCCCTCCTTTCTTTGATCTTATCTCCCTTTTATTTTACAGAATGGAAACATAGTCCTCTTCTAAATTAGTGATGGTATCCATGGACCCTGATTTCCCAGGCTGATCCCGATTTAAAAGATGCCAAGGATCTCTGCCTGCAAGACTAATACATAACATCAACGAAGAAGTTCCCTATATTAGGCCCAGAATGCTTAATTAGGTTAAAGTCATTTTGTACATCAAAGCATTTGTTCACCAAGATTCAATTAGGAATATGCAGTTAGGTTCTCTCCTAATTTTGTGCTGTGGCAGGCTGTCAACAGTGGCATATCAGTTAATAACTGAGCGAGCATTGGTATCAAATTCTGAGTCTTGTGACTTTGATTGCAGGTTAAAAGAAATGAATTACAAGCTTTCTGGAACTTCATTCCAGAGACTAAAGTTAGATACTATTGCATCAGAAGAAAAATGTATTTAATTTAAAGATAAACAGAATCCTAACACCTTCTGAATGTCTTTGAACATGGGGGAAAATGCAGTTAATATAAAAACCCTGGTGGAGAATTCAAGTTTTTAACTTATTAAATTTAATTAAAACAGAAATGAGATTTGTCTTCCTGATTCTGTATTAATTCAGAATAATCCCTTCCTTCCTTCCTTCCTTCCTTCCTTCCTTCCTTCCTTCCTTCCTTCCTTCCTTCCTTCCTTCCTTCCTTCCTTCCTTCCTTCCTTCCTCAGAATTAATTGTTTTTACCACCAGATCATCTGACAAATTGCCCCAGTCATATTTCTTTATTATGGAAATTACTTTACCAATTCTATCTTAATATTTATATAATATCCAAATAATTCACCTATAAGTATGATCCAGTCTATAGCAATTTTATAACGTTTTTAGAGATGTGTCAGTAGATATATCTAGATTTAGATATAGAGTAATGGAAAAGGTCAAGGATGATCTTTGGGAAGTATCTTCTTGCTCTTTAAGGCGTTAAAAATTTTCGGTCTGTTGTATTTTTAACAGAATAATTGTATCCCATATGCAGGTTCTATTGATTTTTTTTTGTTTGTTTCCATCTAGCTGAATGGCTACAGAATTTTCCCAATGGAGCAGAATCGTTTTTTATAACTCTCTTTTCATACGATGTACTAATTGGAAAGCAAACACCAAAATTGCCATTTTAAAAATTTATTTACAAAGCTGTGTACAACACAAAGGAATAACATTTAGAATACATATATTCATTCATATATAAACAGACTTTTATAATAGAATTACGGGGGTATTTCTCCCCCTTTTTTTCTGCTCAGTTCTTTCATAATTAAAACGACTTCCCTTATCGTTGGCTGCAAATTTGGATTTATTTCAAAGAAAATCATCGGAGGAAAAAATAAGAACCTTCAACAAAAGTGAAAGTTCGGGACTCTTAGCTCGAGCGTTCTCAACTTTCCGTTTTCCTTTTTTTTTTCTCTGAATTTTTTTTTCCCTTCGCTTTTGAAATTTTTATTTTTTGCCAAATACGGACCATTAAAAAAAATAATAATAACCGCAAAGGAAAGTCCGTCATCGCCTCCTCGCCCTCCCCACTACAAATATTGAAGAAATAGGTCGCCGCGGGTTGCGTGGTCAGCTTTACCTGCGGCGTCAGAACCCTCCTTTCCTAGGCGCTGGCCGAGGCCTCCGGTTTTACCCCGCGAAGGCCACGGACTAAGGCAAGAGATGCAGCAGCCGGAGCCGATCGAGTCCGCAGAGGGCCGTGGCGAGAACGGAGTCTCTGTGGCGAACCGGGAGGCGGCCGCGAACCCGCTCGGTTCTCCGCAGAATCGGCGCCAAAGGCGAAGAGAGGAAAGGAGGGAAGGAAGGAAGGAAGGAAGGGAGTGCGGGAGGGAGAGCGGGTCCCGCGCTGGCTCGCCCGCCGGCCGAGCTACTGCGCCGGCCACTTGGCCTGGACCGCGCCGGCCGAGGCGGCGGGCTGCAGGAACTGTCCGGAGAGGAGGTTTGTAGGCACGCTGAGGATGGGCGCGATGGCCGCCGTGCTCCTGGCCAGCGAGAGCTGCTGGTGGGCCAGCAAGCCCGACTGCGCGGTGACGGGCGGCCGGAGGAACGTCTGGGCGCTGACGGCCGAAGAGGAGCTGGCGGCCGGCCCGCCGCCGCCGCCGCCCGCCCCGATGATATTCTCGATGCTGAAGGAAGGCCGGCCGCTGGGCTCGGCTTTGACCCCGCCGGCCGCGGCGCCCGCGCCGAGGCTGCTGAGCTGCAGCTGCAGGCTGGGGCTGAGCTGGGCGTTGAAGGCTTTCCGGCTCAGCTCGCCCGAGGGCAGGAGCGGCACGGCGGGCGGCAGCATGGGGCCGACGGGGGGGATGTAGGGGTACTGCAGGGCGGCCGGGTGCGGGTAGGCGCCGTGGGGCAGGCCGTAGGCGCGGCCGTAGGGCCCCGAGGAGGAGGCGGCGGCCGCGGCGGCGGCGGCGGCCAGGCTGTAGGCGCCGAAGCTGTGCATCATGAGCGCCGTCTGCTCGCGGAGCTGCTCCTGCTGGTGCCGCTTGAAGCGCTTGCGGCGGCGCAGGAAGGAGCCGTTGTCGAACATGTCCTCGGACTGCGGGTCCAGCGTCCAGTAGTTGCCCTTGCCCGGGTTGCCCGGCTCGCGGGGGATCTTGACGAAGCAGTCGTTGAGCGAGAGGTTGTGGCGGATGGAGTTCTGCCAGGCCGGGAACTTCTCCCGGTAGTAAGGGAAGCGGTTGCTGATGAACTCGCAGATGCCGCTCAGCGTCAGCTTCTTCTGCGGGCTCTGCAGGATGGCCATGGTGATCAGCGCGATGTAGGAGTAGGGCGGCTTCACCAGGCTGCTCTTGGGCTTGCCGCCGCTGGAGGCAGCAGCCGCAGCAGCGCTCGACGCCGCCGCCGCCGCGGACGGCGCCGAGCCTTCCTCGCCTCCCTTCTCCTCGACGGGGCTCCCGCCGCCGCCGCCGCCGTTGCTGCTGCTGCCCGAGCTCATCTCCGCCGACTCTTTGGCCATCAGCAGCTCGGCCGCCTCGTCTAAGGCCAGCGTGGCGGGCAGCCTACCCAAAGCACCGCCGGGGCTGCCGCCGGCCTCCAGGTCGCCGCCGCCGCCGCCCCCGCTGTCCCGCTCCTCCAGGCAGTCGTCCCCCTCGCCCACCACGTCGATGTCCACATCTTCCGCCGCCAGCACCGTCTGGCCGGACATGTCGCTGGCGCTCAGGTTGCCCGACAGAGTCATCCCAGCTGAGGAAAGGGAAAGCGGGAGGGGATGGTGGGTGGGTGGGTGTCAATTAATTGCCGCGGCGATAATCGGGAACAGCCGGAAGAAGAGAGTTGGGAGAGGAGAAGGCGCGACAAGTGCTCCTGTCGGGAGGGGACGGGAAGGAAGGAAGGAAGGAAGGAAGGAAGGAAGGAAGGAAGGAAGGAAGGAAGGAAGGAAGGAAGGAAGGAAGGAAGGAAGGAAGGAAGGAAGACGGGGGCTCCTGAGAACACTTGGACGCCAATCTCCAACAGGTAGCGGTGTCAGCAGCCAGAGAGCGAGCCCCCCCAGCCTTCCTCTTCTTCTTCCTGCTCCTCTTCCTCCTCCTCCTCCGCTACCTGCCGGCCACGGGGGCCTCCTCCTCCTCCTCCTCACCCAGCTGTCGGCATCCGAGAGCAGACCGCAACCCTTCCTTGCCCACCTTGGCGGCGACTGCGCGGAGAGGCGCCCGGCGATCTGCGGGCCAAGCCTTGGACGCAGCTCGAGGGCGACGCCGGCGAGCGGGGCGGCCACTCGGGGCTTTCCTTTCAGCAGCCTCTCCCGACCACCAGACAAGCGACAGCAACGGCGGCGGCGACGACGGGGCGGCAGGGAGCAGGCAGAGGCCGAGGGGGCGGCGGCGGCGGCGGCCCAACCGGGCGAGCGAGTGGAGCTCCCGTACCGTTTTTTGCTCCTGGTCTGGAGCCCTTCAGCGTTCCTCCGGCCCGGGAGGACTCCCGGCTTCCAGACGCCTCTCGGCTGCTGCTGCTGTGGTGCTGCTGGACGGTGCTTTTCCCCAGCCGAAGCGATTGGCGACCGGCGATCCTCTCCCGGCTCATCGGAATGGTTCTGCCCAGCCACCACCAAGCTTACTGCTGCAGGTTAGCTCTCTTCGGCGGCGGGATCTCCATCTCTCCTCCGCCTTCGCTCCAAACCTCCTTCTTTTCTCTTTGCCTTTACTCCTCTCTCGGCCCCCACCTCGCTGTTTTCAAATCCCACAAACACCCCCGCCGCCTTCTCTGTTTAGGTTCCCCCCCCCTTTTTTTTCTTCTGTCCCGAAAGGGAGGATGGGCGGAGGGAAGAAAGGTTCGGTTTGACAGCCCAGCGAGCGGGAGAGGGCGGGGAATCCGCGGGCGTTATAAGAAACTCGGTTGCCACTTAGAAAGTGCCTTTTTTTAAAAAGGCTGCCTGATAGATTACTTTCCAGTTAAAGATATACTAGGGGGCGGGGCCACGTGATGGCTTGACGTCAGCCCCCCCCCCCCGGCAGGCCAAACCCGGCTCAAGTTGTTTCAGGGGATTGTCAACAAAGAGACAACGGTGGCTTCTTTCCCCTCGATCACCGCCAAGTGATCGGTTCAGCTCCCTTTAGGGAAAACTTGCCTAAACAGGCCTCGTGGCAGGTCTCCCCAGCGTGGCCCCTTAAAAACAAACATCTGCCCAGGTCGCCAAGTTTATTCTAATAGGAATGGATGGAGCATCAAAACAAATCAAAACAAAACAACCATGCTGGAATTCGATGCACGCATGCACACACATACACACGAGAAAGACACACACACACAAACACACACACACACACACAGGGAGAGAGAGAGAGAGAGGGAGGGAGGGAGGGAGGGAGGGAGGGAGAGAGAGAAGATGCCTGTGCAATCTTTTCAGAATTGGGTATTTCCTCCCCCCCCCCCCAGCACCTGGGAAAATAATATTTTTAAAGGGAGAGAATGGAAAGCAAGTAAGTCTTCAACTGTGTCAGTCAGGCTGGATTAGGAATTAAATTATTATGTTGCCTTGGTTTTTTTTTTTAAAAAAATCCGCTTTTAAGATTTGAACATCTCTATCCCCCTCAACTTCAGAGAAAATGTTTTTTCTTGTTCTCCTTTTCCTCCCTTTCCCAAATATAAACCAGCCTCCGCTGGGAAACGAAGAAGGAAAAGATGCCTATCTGTTCATCCTTTAAGTTTAGGTCAATTGGGGATCGCAATAAGACCAAAAGATATAAAATAACCACGCCTCCCCCCCAAAAAAAAATGGGAAGAGAAAGAAAAATAACCAAAACAAGAAGATAGAGTGTGTGTGTATGCATTTCGGCTGTAGCTTTATTATTATTGGTGGTGTCGCCCAGAGGTGTTAACGACGTAATAATAGCTCATTAGCATATTAAAAAGTAGGAAATGGGGAAGGGGGAATGTGTGTGCATGGAAATTTTTTTTTTTTAAATTCACCTCCCCGCAAGGTAAACCTTGTCCCAAGAAAACAAACTCCAGGAGGTAGCCAGTTCTCAAAGTTTCTTGCAAATGTCTACAGCATTTCCTCCTCTTTAAACAAAAGCCTCCATTTCCAGAGAGAACAATTACCTGGGGTTTAGGTAGGAAATGACTCGCTTGGTAGGTGGCTTTCCTTTTTGTTTTTCCGCCCTACATATGGTTGTAATGATTGTTGTGATTTCGGAGAAATGTTGATAGGAACAACAACAACAAAAACAAAAACAACAGTCCTCGGGGGGGGGGGGGAGGAGGAGGGAAATCCGTGTCTTTCTGAATCTCCCAAAAGAAACGCCCAAACCCACCTGCTTGGACTCTCCTTGTGCGTTTGCGGCTTTTGTGTTCATAACAACATTTTCACAGCTTTCGGATTTAAAAAAAAGCAAGACTTCTTTATATTTTAACGGGAGCGAAACACACGGACCAAAAAGGTGGATCCTTCTAGCGAGGAGAAAAGGGGAGTTGGCTAAAACCGAGAGTCAAAACGTGCGAAATGAAGACAGAAATGGCAAGAATAGTATACAGAAGGCACCGGGTTGAGGGGTGGGGGGGGGGAAACCCCAGTGATTTATGCTCTGAGCAAAGGGAAAGTAAGAAGGGAAACCTGGCTCTCTGCGCGGGAGGCTATACCTCCAGGTCACTGTTCACACGAGAGGGGCTTGCAAGTTTTACCCCTGGGGAAAAAAAAAAAACGGCATCCGTAAGTTACATTTTTTCCCTGCCTCCCACCACCACCGCCGCCCCCCCCCCCGCCAATCGGTATGGCATGGAGGGGCGACCTATTGGACCGTCCTATTGGGTGATCCGCCACAGGACACCCCAAAACAAGCGGACAGGACTTCGAGCAAATGCGACGCGTCGTGTGTATTTGGTCCTTCTCTGTGTTTGCAAAGCGCTGCCGCCTCGGGTGGAGGAAAAGGACTTCCCTTAAGCTCCTTTTTGGGAAGCTCACCTTTACAGGAGGTCTTCGGGTGCAGCCCTGCTAACGATCGCTGCTTTGGAGCGATTCACTCCCAGCTGGGACTCCTTAAGGTAGCCAGAGAAAGGCGGCTTGTTTCCCAGCCTTGATTTAGATGAGGGGGAGAAGAAATCAGGTTGGCTGGTTTTCGGACGATTGAGGAGATCTGAGGTGCCCGTTGGCGGGTGGGATTGTAAACCAGGCTTCTCCCATCCCACAAACACGCGTCCCCTTTCCAGTCGCCGCGGGGTGGCCGTGGGAGGCTGTCTCCTTCCGTTTTTCTTTTTTTTTTTCTCCCCTCCCCCTTGGTCTCTTCGGGATGGAGCTTTTCCTTTCAACGGTCCCCGGGTGAATTCCGCCCCTTGGACCACCAAACCTTTGCAGGATCTCCCCGTGCGTCTTTACAGCAATGAATAAAAGGAATCCGAGCAGATGCGGGCCGATTTCGTCATTCCGTGGAGGGGGGAAAAAAAGAAAAGAAATCCCTTCCTCAAATATAGTCACGCGTTACAAAAAAAAAAAAAAAAAAAAAAAACCATCCGTTTCTCGGGTGGTTTTCTGTGAAATCTTACCGGGGATTGTAACAAGGTGATGAGAGAGAGAGTGAGAGAGAGAAAGAGAAAACACACCACTCTAGAAAGCGTCGCCTTCATTTGTTGAGCTTTTGGTTTGACATAACTGAAGTCAAATTAATTGATTCATACCATTAATTACGGTGCTTAGCGTGGAAGAAACGTATCCCTTCGATTAGGACTCTATTGTGCTAATCTCTTGTTCCATCAGTGTTAACATCTGATGCTGGGAAGAAGAGGGAGGGTGACGGCCGGAAGGGTGTGGGGGGTTGGGTGGGGGTGGGGAGGGAGAGAAAAGGGAGGCAGGAGAAAGCATGGAGACAAAGTTTTGGGGCTTTCGCAAACGGGAGCAGGGCGCCTGAGTTTGAAGCCAGGCGCTGTCCGCAAAGCTAGTTTCATTTGCTCGCGGCCTTCCTTGAGGAAGGGCCAACCTGGGGTTCACCTGGCTTTGGAACCCATCTTTGATTTGTCTCCCGTTAACCTTTTCCTGCTGCAAAAAAACCCCCACCCTATTTATGTATTTTATTTATTTGATCAATGCGCATATTATATCTTCCCCTAAAACATTCCCCAAAAGGAGGTGAGGGAGAGGAAAGCTGTTCTCATCTGGAAAAGTGTCCGAAGCACAAAGGCCGGCGCTCACTTCCAAAAGATAATTTGGGAAAGAAAGGGACAGCCACTTCCCCCCCCCTCTCTCCCCTCGGGTGTGTGAATGAGTGAATGGGGGGGGGGAGAGATAGAGAGATGGAAAGGAAGAAGGAAGGATGAACTTAAGCCAAAGGCCAGGACCACCCACCAGAGAATGGGTATAAGGAAACCTTTCAGTGAAGTTGGCTCTTGATATCCCTAAGTTTTCCAAGTTCGTGGCAAAGCTTCCCTACTGCGTCCAGTTTGGTGTCTGTGGAGCGTCTGTGTTGTATGGGTTTTGTGTGCTGAAGAAAACAATTTTAGAATAACACTTAAACTTTCTTCGAAGGAATGCTCCTAATTATTCTTTCCTGAAAGAGAAGGCTGAAAAAGAGATTTTTATTGATACAGAGGGGAGAGCCAATTCATACGAGAGAGAGAGAGAGAGAGAGAGAGAGAGAGAGAGAGAGAGAGAGAGAGAGGGAAGCTACGTGTAGATATGTACATGCACAGGCGCGATTTAGCAACGGCGGAAACTACTGTCCAGATCGATAGGGAGTCAGATAGAGACGTAACTAGGCTGCGGGGAGTTTGGGGGGGGGGAGATGCGGAACGAAAACTTATGATAGGAGAGGAGAAATTAATTACAGTTCACTTGGAACCTAGGATGAGCAAGTGAGTGTCTGCCCGCAAAGTGAGTTAAAAATGAACCGGGACAGGAGATAGGACTGAAAAGGAGGAGAGGGGAGAGCGACCAGCTGCGTTGGGCTACGGTTCTTCTCCCGGAGCCAACTATGTATTTGCTCCTCTCCTGTGCCCCGTGACTTTGGCGGAATAGTTGCAGAAACGGTTGACCTAAATCCTTACCGTAAAAAAACAAAACAAAACAAAACCGGGATGTTTTTAATCGAAGAGGATATAAGTACAGAGAAGGGAAAGCGCACGGAGAAAAAAGAAGAGGGCCGGTGTCTTGTAGATTTCGATGTGGATGCTGTGAAAGAGCCCAGCTGCTGGATTGAGCGGGCAGCCTTTTCTCGTTAGCAGCTCGGAAAAAGAATTGGGGGAAAAGCCGCGCTCTGGCCAGTCTTTCTATAGGGCGAGAGGAAAAAAGGTAGAAGGTAGAAGGCAAGAGGAGGAGGAGGAGGAGGAGAAGAGGAGGAGGAGGAAGAAGAAATGTGGTGGTTGTAGAATCTAATTGACCCCCCCCCCCGCAAGAGTTTCACGGTCACAACCGAAGCTCCTTCTGAAGGCGCATCCAAGCTTGGCCTTTTGATAACACCTGCCACACACACACACACACACACACACACACACACAAACACACACACACACACGAAGCCACGATCCCATCGAAATCTACCCAACCCGGACCCCCGTTTCTGTGTGATAGGATGGTGAGGATATAAAGTTGTCGGTGCCGTTATCTCTCTAAAAGGAATCGTAACAAATCGCGTGTAAAATCCTGCTGCCACCGCGAAACGGAAGCAACGGGAGACGTTTGAGTACCCAAACACGAAGGATGGGGGTGGGTGGGGTCGTGAGGGGGAGGTGGGTGGGTGGGTGGGGGGCAAAGAAGAGCCCCGCGTTTCCAAACGGATATCTTTGCCCTGGAAATGTACAAACATCCATTTTGTGAAAGGCAACACGTTTAATTAACGAGGAGAGAGAGAGCAGTTAGGGGCCAAAACCCGACTAAAATGGTGCGATAAATTTATGGCATTGTTAGCGTGCTTTTAATTATGGCTATTAGGTTAATTATTGCCCATTAGCACGGAGTTATCAGCGGCCTGTCAGCTTTAATCAAAACGAGGCTTTCTCTTGAAAATGGTCTCTTTCCACCCGCCGTCAGGGACGGCGGAGTGGGGAGCAGGCAGAGCCGAGGCCCCTCCCAAAAAAAGGCCAGGGTCGACAGGGGAACAAAATAAACGACTTCCCCGTCGAAAAGAGCGACTTGGACGCGATCCTGCGCGGGCTGCTCCCTCCGGAGATTCCCCCCCCCCCGTCCGGGCCAAAGGCCGGCCGGGGAGAGGCGAGAAAGAGCGCTTGGCCCGGCCTTTCCCCCTCTTTCGCCTCCCCGCCCCTCCTCTCCGCCCCTTCTTTAGAGAGAGGCCGCTTCATCATGCCGGATCACTCTGTCAAACAAGATGTTCCGGCTCGTTTTTATCCGTCCCGTTTTACAAGACGCCCCTTCCTTCCCCCCCCCAAGCCCCCCCCCCGGGCCGGGCTCAAAACGCTCGCCAAACACCCTGGCATCCCCCGAATCCCGAAATCTGGAGCATCCACTGGTCCCAGCCCAGGGCGGAGGAGGATGAGGAACAACTGGAGAGCCCGGATCCAAAGCAGGGGGGGGGCTCCTTGGAGGGGGGGGGAATTGGATTTTTGGCCCCGACTGAGGGGGTCTCCTGCAAAAAATGTGGCCCAGGTTTTCTCTCTCCCGGTCTTGGGTTGGGAAAAGTTCGCCCCATCGCCCCCTCCCCTGGCTTGGAAACCGGGGGGGGGGAGAGGAGTGTGTCTGTGGGGGGGGGGGGACCCTTCGGAGAACCGGTACAGCGTAAGGTTCAGAGGCTGCTTGTTGGTGGGGCTGAATTGCCCTGTGAAATTATTCTGGGGTATCTGGCACTGGCCAATGAAGGAAAAAAAAAAAAGAGGACAATAAAAGGGGTGCCCCTTCGATCAGACTCAGAGAGGCCGCCAAGGGGAGCCTCCCCCCCCTTCTTAACAAAGCGGCAGGTAGTAAGGGGAGCTCCCGCCTGCAGGTGGGGAAGCGAGCTTCGGATCCGAGAGCGAGAGCCGTCTTTGGGGCAGACCGAGCAGCGCACGCAGCGTGTCTTTATTGCCCCCCCCAAAAGCCACTTTCTAGACTCTTTTCCTCTCAGGAGGAACAGTCTTCAGTTTAAGGCAGTGTTTCTCAACCTTGACCATTTTAAGGCATGTGGACTTCAACTCCCAGAATTCCACAGCCAGCAATGCTGGCTGTGGAATTCTGGGAGTTGAAGTCCACATGCCTTAAAATGGTCAAGGTTGAGAAACACTGGTTTAAGGGGACTTAGGCCCAGTCTTAAGCCAAGTCCAGATTGTTACCCCCTTCAACCTGCAGACAGTCCAGGCTACCCCCTCCTCCCCCCCCCGTCCCCACAACCCGGGCTCGCTCGATGCCCTGGACTTCAAGTCCCAGTCATCGCCAATTCGTCCAAAGGACCATAAGGATGAGGGGATGCTGTAGTCTAACATATTGGGAAGCCTCTGCTTACCTGGGAATGAATCCCGTGGAACTTGTTTCGGCTACTTCTCAGGATGGAGAGGATTGGACAGTAAAGTTGCCCATTGTCTTATTCAGTTCAACACGGATTCGAGAGTGGGTCTCGTCAATTTCTCGGACCTCTACCCCGGAGGGGCGGACCCCAAAGGGAAAACTCTGAAGTCCCGTTGACTAGTCAATTTCAGGCAGATTCCTCTTCCCCCTACCTAGACTCTTCCCAACTAGGATTAGGTTGCAGGGCTAGGCAACCTTGGCTCTTTTATGACTCGTGGACTTCAACTCCCAGAATTCCTGAGCCAGCTATGCTGGCTATGCTGAGCCAGCTATGCTGGCTATGCTGGCTCAGGAATTCTGGGAGTTGAAGTCCACGAGTCATAAAAGAGCCAAGGTTGCCTAGCCCTGGCACTAGGACAAGCACCGTTCTCTTCCTTCCTTTGCTGGCAGAGATTTCAGGAACTTAGCGCTACCTGGACCTCCCTCCTTCTCTAAACACCTTCCTCCTCTTCTCAATACCTTTCAGACAAGGTCCATTGCCCCCCCCCTCCTTACCCCACAATAGAAACCCAGTGAAAACCAGTTGCCCAAAGGTAGCGACTAGTCTTAGAGGTGAAGCTCCACGGTTGAGGGGGAAGCTCCTCCGACTTCCCAACCCGTTTATCTTAGTTAAAAGGAAGTTCAAGATCAGGGGCAGCCGCCGAGTTATTTTTGGAACCGCCCATCCGTTCCTCTGGCTTAAAATGGAGGGTGATGGATTGGTTATTTAGATTTTTTTTAAATTTTTTTTTAAACCACCGACGCCTTCATTCAGTCGCCGGGAAGACGACGGGGCGACCCGGGGCTTCTGAATAATAAAGACCACATCAGCAACCGGGGCTTCTGAATAATAAAAGAAGAGGTGGGGAGATCGCTCATGGTCTCCAGATGCTTCCCAATGGCCATCAGGCGACCGGTGTGTGTCGGGCTCGTCGCCCCAACAGCTGTTCAAGGCACCCCGTTTGGAGGCAGCCGTAGCTGTCAGCATCCCACTCGTAAAAAGCCAGGACGTGTTGTTTAGCCCAGCGCAAGGCTTCCACTTCGGTCACTTCGGCCACTTCGACAGATTGCAGAGTTCTGGGCTCCCTTTGCCAACGCAAGCCAAGTACCCCGCTTGCCACAAAAGGCACCCACATCGAATCCAAACCGTGGAAGGTAACGACGGGGAATCCTAAAGGGAGAGAGGGGAGACCCCGTCCAAGCCCTTCCCAGGATCCCTCCAGCTTCGACGTTTAGAGCAGGGACTGAGTTGATTTCGATTATAAATACAACCGCGAAAGGAAAGAAGGAAATCAGAATGACGGCTGATTTTTTTCCCCACGGCCTTATGAGAGCACCTCGGTTTTATTCGTGGATTCTCACCTGATCACTTCCAAACCGCCTCCGCGAAAGGGATATAGAGTTGTTTCTTATCTTTCCAAATGTCTGGAAAGATCATTTGTAACTAGGGCGGCGGAGAGGACGCCCCACAGAATTCCACGGGGGGGGGGAAGACTCCCCACCGATTCTCTTACAACGGGCAGCTTCGGGGGCCATTGGAACCCAGATAAAAGGGGGTTGAAATTTTATGCCCGGGATTTGAAACCCTTGGGGTCGTTAGGATTCCTCTTGGTGACGCGGAACTGCTTGTGGGATGGTTTTGGAGGAGATTCTTGATCTTCGCCTGCGTTCGGGCCCGCCTCCACAGGCCGTGGAAAAAAGAATCGAAATAATGGCAAAAATAGGATTTTTTTTCTCCGCCAATAAATCTGACCCCTCTGCATAATTACAACACCCGTTGGGGGGGGGGGTCTGAAAAAAGGTTCCCCCTCCTGTAGCAAAGGCGGGAGAAATGACCGCAGCCGCTGTGACATCAGGCTGGTTTTATAGAAGCTTATTCAAAGAAGGTGTTGGGGACGAAAGCAATGTATTATACTCTCTTTCTCTCTCTCTCTCCCCTTCCCTCCCTCCCTCCCTCCCTCTCTCTCTCTCTTCCTCCTCCTCCTCCTCCTCCTCCTCCTCCTCCTCCTCCTCCTCCTCCTACTACTACTACTACTACTACTACTACTACTAAACCAAAGTTCGAAATAAAAGTGACCCCCTCTCCTCCCCCAGCGTCTCAAAAAAAAAGGCTTATTTTCGTTGTTCTCACTAGGAAACCCGGACGGCTACTCCTTCTCAGGCGAAAGGCATCCCCTAAGATTCGGCTGGAACGGCGAGTTCGCAGGAGAGAGAAAGAGGATTCGCCTCCGGAAGCGACTGGGACGGGACCACGCCACGGTTTCGGGAGGTTGGCGGGCCCTCCCGTGGAAGCGTATTCCGTCCATCGGTTTCACTGGGCTTTCAGCACAGCTGCTAGTCGGTCGTCTTCTAGCCACGTGATGTTTGTTTGAAATGTAGCCAGGTGTACCCAACCTTCTTTTTTTCGTTACCCTAGATCAGTGTTTCCCAAACTTGACAATTTTAAGGCATGTGGACTTCAACTCCCAGAATTCCACAGCCAGCGTTGATGGCTGTGGAATTCTGGGAGTTGAAGTCCTCATGCCTTAAAATTGTCAAGTTTGGGAAACACTGCCCTAGATCAGTGCTTCTCAACCTTGGCAACTTTTAAGACGTGTGGACTTCAACTCCCAGAATCCCCCAGCCAGCATTGCCAAGGTTGAGAAACGTTGCCCTAGATCGCAATGGTCTGGCTTAACCATCTCCTCTCTTTTAGGAAAGCAGGGCAGTGCCTTGGGACCAATATAGTTCTAAGGATAAAACCTGCAAAAGTAAATAGAATAGAGCTGGAAGGGACCTTGGAGGTCTTCTAGTCCAGCCCCCTGCTCAAGCAGGAAAACCTATACCAGGGGTAGACAACCTTGGCTCTTTTATGACTCCTGGACTTCAACTCCCAGGATTCCTGAGCCAGCCATGCTGAGGGGAAAGGGAGAGGTTTCCATGCTGAGCCATGCTGGCTCAGGAATTCTGGGAGTTGAAGTCCATGAGTCATAAAAGAGCCAAGGTTGCCTACCCCTGACCTATTCCATTTCAGGGGTAGGCAACCTTGGCCTACCTCTTCTTAAAGAAGTGATGGAGTGCCCCCATGATTTCTGCAGGCAAGCTGTTCCACTGGTTAATTGTCCTCACTGTCAGGAAGTTTCTCCTTAATTCCAGGTTGCTTCTCTCTTTGGTGAGTTTCCAACCATTGTTTCTTGTCTTGCCCTCTGGTGCTTTGGAGAATAGTTTGATGTCCTCTTCTTTGTGACATCCCCTCAAATACTGGAATACTGCTATCATGTCTCCCCTATTTCTTCTTTTCTTTAGACTAGCCAAACCCAAGTCCTGCAGGTGTTCTTCATATGCTTTAGTCTCCAGGCCTTTGATCATTTTAGTTGCTCTTCTCTGAATTTTTTCTCTTTTTTGTAGCATGGTGACCAAAATTGGTTGCACTATTCCAGGTGTGGTTTTATAAAGCGGTACTAATACCTTGTATGAACTTGATTCTATGCCTCTTTATACAACCCAGGATTGTATCGTATTAGCTTTTTTGGGCTGCTGCTGCACACTGCTGGCTCATAGTCAAGTGAAGGTCCTCTAGGACTCCAAGGTCCCTCTCACAGTTACTGTTTCTGAGCCTCCCTCCCTCTCCTCTTCTACTCCAGTTTTCTCTTGGCTGCTCTTTACCAACATAGATGGGCTTTTCATTTGCTGCCCAGCCAGTGGGCGGAGCAAGTATATCCCAGGATGCTCTTTCCTCACTCTTAAGGTTTCGATCCAGGATCTGATTGGAGAACCAGTTTTTGTTCTAGTGGTTGAGGTGCTGGCCTAGAAACCTAGGAGACTGTGAGTTCTAGTCCCACCTTAGGCATGGAAAAAACCAGCTGGATGACTTTGGGCCAGTCACTCTCTCAGCCCAACCCAACTCACAGAGTTGTGGGAAAATAGGAAGATTATGAGCTATGTTCACTGCCTGGAGTTACTTATAAACAAGAATAAAGGCGGAATTTAAAAAAAAAATCAAACCAATCATCTCAGGAAGAGCTCAGCTCTCCATCGGCCCCTTCTCTTTCCCTCTTGGTTCCTGTTCCACCTTTGGACCTGTAACCTCCAAATCCAGCCTTTCCAATTGCAACATATACAGAGACACACACCACTCTTTCTGATATCTCCCCCACGCCCCCCAAAAGAAAAAGAGGGAGGGCAATGGAATCCAATCGAAGCGGATTCCTCTAACCAGGAGCAGCCTTCCCCAACTGGCACCCTTTAATTAGGTTGGGATCCAACTCTCAGCCACAGTCTTTTTCCAGGGGCTGACAAGGTGGGAGGTCCAATCGAACAGACCTGCAGGAGGCCAGGTTGAAGTGGGGTGGGAATGGGCTATTTTGGACAGAGGTAAAGGCAGAAGGGATTGCCAGTTCACTTCCCGTCCTTCTCTGGCTAAAGACCCACCCCTGCTTATTCAAATTTAGAGTCATTGGGTGGGGGTCGCGGAGGGGGGGGGGCTTAGTTTCAGCAGAGCATCCTTCTTTAGAAGATAGATATTTCTGGGGACAGAACTGGAATTACGCCCTTCTCTTACTCCACTTATATGCAGCTCCTAAGACATTGCAGGGGTCTCCCTGTACCGAAGACCACTAGAACCAAAAAGGAGAGGGGGGGGCACCAAGGAGCACTTGAGGCAGAAGGGGCAGGGATAATAATAATAATAATAATAGTAAAGTTGGAAGGGACCTTGGAGGTCATCTAGTCCATCCCCCTGCTCAGGCAGGAAACCCTACACCATTTCGGACAAATGGCTGTCCAGTCTCTTCTTAAAAACTTCCAGTGTTGGAGCATTTACTGCTTTTGGAGGCAGGATGACACAGCCCTTCTTTGCCAGTGAAAAGATTAAAATGCTGCTGGGGGGGATGCTTTCTTCCTCCAGAGCAGTGGTTCTCAACCTGTGGGTCGGGACCCCATTTGGGGTCGAACGACTATTTCACAGGGGTCGCCAAACAAGGCTGTCCGCCATTTTTTTCCCCTTTTCTTTGGCCACGCCCCTGGCACCTGTGATGTATAAGTGGTTGGGGGTCACTACAACATGGGGAACTGTATTATGGGGTCGTGGCATTAGAAAGGTTGAGAACCACTGCTCCAGAGGGTCGGATGGGAGAGGAACAGTTGGGGTCTTTGAAGCAGCCCAGAAACTGGGAGGGGGGGGGCAGGCAGGAAGAGTGGCTGCTGCCCCTGACACTTGTCTTTTCTTGTGAGTCCACGTGCTGTTTGTGAGGAGGAGCAGCACCCTCCTCACAGCCCCCTCTGAGTCCTGCTGGAAAGCAAGTGGGCTGGAGATGCTGAGCTAGGGAGTCCTGAGATGCAAAGGGGAGGATCACTTGGGCTGTTCCTCGCTCACCCCAAGATTTCACAGCTGTTCAAGACCAAGAGCACTTGAGACCTGAATATTTTGATATTTTTTCCGGTGCTCAGGAGGGACCATTTGAGGGATGGGAAATGCTACTATATATACCTGGTCAACTGACCCCAAACCAGGACTCTCTTCCTTCTCAGAAACTATTGATCTCACTTTGACCCAAATAGTATCCATACTTTAACTATTTTCATCAACAAGGGTTTTTTTTTTGTTTGGAATTTTCTTTTGGGGGGGTGGTTTTTTTTGGGGGGGAAGGAGAGGTCAGTTTAAAAGATCAACAGTTCTGGAAATTCTCTATGATGAGTTGGTTGAGAATGTTAGGGAGATGCAGAGAATGAGCAGGTGATGGAAAGTGATCTTCCCCAACTTTGTGACCTCCACATAGGACTTTACTAGATTAAAGTGTTCCTTATTTAACTCATGGAAAGCATCAAGTTGGGTGAAAAGACACCCTAAAATCTTTGGATGGGAGACTACTAGGAAAGCTCAGGCCTATTGGATAGATTATTGCCCCTGGAACAAGACAACAGCAGAACAGGCTGATGATGTTGCTGAAAAAAAAGGCAATATGTTGAAGTCATCAACAACTGAAGGTGACTTGAAGGAGACTTAAAAAGTCTTCAGGGACCAGCTGGAATGGCTAAACCAGATGTGCTTTGTCTAAAGCTTGACCCATAACAAGTAAAGTTCATTGATAAGAGGCTTTGAATTTTGGTGGAAACCTGTTCCCCTCCACAAAGGTGCTTTTTCACAAGGCAACTGGACTTTCTTGTTTTTCTTTGAAGACGTTTCGCTTCTCATCCAAGAAGCTTCTTCAGCTCTGACTGGATAGTGGGGAATGGAAGGATTTATACTCCTTCCAAATCCTTCCATCCAGTCAGAGCTGAAGACGCTTCTTGGACAAGAAATGAAACATCTTCAAAGAAAAACAAACAAACAAGGAAGTCCAGTTGCCTCGTGAAAAAGCACCTTTGGGACAATCATGACCTGGATGACTGAGAATCTCCATAGACATTCCCCTCTATTCATTCTTCTCTATGATTGATGTGCAGCTTCCTGCTCACAACTGCTCACAACTTCTTTGACATGATAGCAGGAGTAAAGGCTGATGCTGGGGTGCAATCCCCTAGAACTCCTCTAAAAATTGCTCCCTGATAGTCATTCAGGAGGGGTCTTCAAGGTCTGGTTAAAAAAATTCAAAAAATGGCAACCTCAGTGGTGTGATGGAACCTCCACCTGCTTTTTATGTGCCATGGTTAACTGCAAGTTAAGGCAAATCCCAGATGTGCTGCTCTGAAGTACAGTCCAACACATCAGAAGAGTTGGGGGAGAAAGTGTTCAAGATGCAGTGGAAAATACAAAGTTAGCCCTGCGTGTGGCTCAAAATTTGCAGACTAATTTAAACAACTGAACTATTAATTAATAGAATTCACAGAGTAATTCATAAAAAAACCCAGATGGAATGGATGTAGGGTCTTGCAAAAAAGATAGAAAGGAGCAATGGGATCCTGGGAAGAATGACATAATGAGTTACCATCACTTTCCTGTCCTCTGATTGAAAGCCTTGGGTGAGATCCCATATTCTTCTTCCCAGTGGGTAGGAGTCACTCCATAAGGTAGTGAAATCCACCATTAACCATGGAAACTTGCTGAATAATGGGAGTTTCTACAATGATTGGCCCTCTATCATGCCAATCTATCACACAGGGGCTATTGGAGTGGCAAAATGAAGAGAAATCCCAGGTAAGTTCTTTGAGCTCTTGGTGAACATGCTAGATATAAATTGAATACATTGTTGGTCCTTATTAGGAATGGAGCAGATACTAGGTAACACCAGAGACTCCCCCAAAGCTTGCTGACATCAAGAAGCAAGCAGATACTGTAAAGATCATTTCCAGTTCTGGAAATGTATCATCCAGTTACTAACAGTCCAGCCTGTTTTTGACTTTGAGATACAGCAGTGACTGAAAATCCAAGTATAGACACATTAGTCATGGGCAAGAAGTAGATATCTCTTATGTCTCCATCA